TTCAGCCATAAAAAACAACAAAACCCTGGCTTTTGACAGAAAGTGGAAGAATATGGAAGATTTACTGCTGAGTGGAGCAAGCCAGGCTATGAAGGAGAGACACTGTATGGTCCCCACTTAATATATACCAAGTGTCTGCACTCTACGACCAAAACTGTTTGACTAAAAGATATACAAACACAAGAGATGGGTGTGAATGCCAGATGTGGTGTGTGTGGAGGAGTGAGGCCTAGGGAAGGACATTTGGAGGAGGGATACAGAGGCAGAGCATAGACAGGACGGGAGGGGTGGTGTAATCTGTTGAAGATATTTTGATCAATGGAACTGGAGAGAATTGTTCACATATTGAAATGTTCACTTCATATGCTAAACAATGTCACTTAATGTATATAAAAATTAATTAATTAATTTTAAAAAGACACTATGCAGATGCTATATATGAATTAACTCCTTTAATGCCCACAAACCCCAGTGAGATGGGTAGTTATTCTCACTATAGATAAAGATCATGAGGCATACACAGAGAAAGTAACTTGTTTTAGACTATAAACAGGTGGTAAGAGCAGAGTCAAAATATTCTGGCTCCAAAGTCTGGGTGCTTTACCACTATACCCTACTGCTTCTTAAATGGCCAGAAATCCATGGATTAGGTGGGATCTAGATACAAGATATCCTGAACACTGTGTTAGCATCACCCTTCTCTCTGCTTTGCCTTTTCCAAGGTTGATTTTACCCTAAGACTGTTTTCCCATATGATTGTAAGATTGTCAGTACAAAGATTAAGCTGCCTGTTTATTCTATACAGAGAGAGAGGGAGACAGAGAGGAGGGCATTATCCCTTTGGTATAGAACATAAGGCATTCCTATTTATCTGGTTATACCGACTTTAGCAATGTGTCTGCCTGTGGACAAATTCAATCACCAGGGCAGTGTCAGGATTCCACTTAGACATATAGATGGGGTGGATTCCTCAATGCAATCAGGATTCTGTTTTAAAGAAAGGGGCTACCTCAGTTAAATTAATGTATTGAAACTGGCCTAAATATTACACCATTTCATAGAACAGATTATTCCTGTCTTTGGCATACTCTATTAATTGATATTTGAGAAAAAAACTTACTTTTGACTTTGCTGTATTTTAGGGAATTCCTGGGATCCGTGGAAAGAAGGGCCTTAAAGGAAGACAGGTAATTTGATTCTTATTTCTCAAGGTTCAGTTTAGTGCAATATTATCTAATTATGTTTATTTATTTATTTAAATTTTTTTTTGGAGAGGTTTTTCACTATAGGGCATGTGCGCTCGCCAGACAGACAGAAAGGGAGAAATCACCCCCCTTCTCCTCCATTCTCCTCTCGGGATCTTGGGCACGCACGCACATGCACCCAGCGTGAGTTTTAAGCCACCAGGTCCGGGACGTGAACCATGGTCGACTACGTGGGAGTCCAGTGACATAGCCATTACGCTAACTGCTGGTTCCCATTATGTTTATTTTTTCAACTGTTAAAATGTATTTTTTAACTTTTGTTGTTGTCATCATCCATAATCTTCCCCATTGAACAGAGCTTAATTTTTATCACTTTAGCTGTGTATCTCATAATATTTTAGAATATAGAAGAAAATCTAGATTGAAAAAGAACTCTACATTGAACACTTCTACCCATTTTACCATATCAGTGGAAGAAACCTTCATTTCCATGGCAGGGAGCTGAAATGTCACAGAAAATACATGAACAACTAAAAACACTGATGGTTACACTTTTCAACCTATTTTTACAAGATGTTGTACAGGTTCAACCTCATGTTCTAAAAGTTATTAAATGCTTGCTTTGGCTGTAAGCTCAGAAACTAGTTTGGTAGGAGCCATGGTTCGAGTCCTGGACCTGGAGGCTTGAAATTCAGGCTGAGCACATATGCATGCACGCCCAAAATCCTGAGAGAAGAATGGAGAAAGGATTGTGGCATGGCCATCCCACTGGGGACTGGGGGAAGGTGATTTCTGCTTTCTGTTTCTGTTTCTATCTGTCTTTTTGGGCAGCACATGTGCCTTATAGCAAAAATCTCTCTCAAAAAAAAAAATGCTACTTAACCTGTTTTTAATTTTTTTTAAGTATATATAGTCTTGAGAGAAAAAATAACTAATCTACAATGATGAAATCTTAGACATTGTTGAGCAAATAGTATATTTTCTCAGTCTCTCATATCTCATAGGTAACCACCAGTTTAATTTATTAATATGACAGGTTTTACTAATGCCAACAGATGTTCTCTTGATGTTGGCATTAGTAACACATAGGTACTTTCTAGCTTCCTACTTTATAATGAATTATATAATTATCTAGGGATATTACAGATAACGTTGGGTTCTTATTCCATAAGGATTTATAAAGTTATCCCACAGGATTCTTTTGACTCATAAAGACAAATTCAACTGTGGGAAAATAGTGAACAAAATGATTTTTAGACCCTTTTGTTTGTACAGTTGTTTACATTATAGAATTTGCAACACTTTATTGCTTTAAAAAATATGCACTTGCAGGACCAGCAGATGGCAAAATGGTTACATCGCTGGACACCCACATGGCTGAGCACAGTTCAAGTCCCACACTCAGTGACTTGAAACTCCTATTGGGAGCATGCGTGTGTGTGCCAAAAATCTCTAGAGGAGAATGGGAGAGAGGGGTGATCTCTCACATTCTATCTCTGTCTCTCTAGTGAGTGCACACAGCCTATAGCAAAAATATCTCTTTAAAAATATGCACTCATAATAGTTTTAGAGCCTTAGAAAAATTATATCTGAAAAACATGTATATAACATTTTTCCTAACTAATCTTTGTAATACAAAAATCTGTCTGTTGCCATAACATGTCATATATAGTATATGTACTATTTCTTGTTTTAACCACAAAATGATTTGACTATATTTATTAGGAAAATATGAGTACTTAGAGTAAGATACAGTTACAACCACAATTCAAATTATGGCAAAGCTAACCTTAGAGACTATTCCAGAATATTATTTTTTGTATGATTGTTTCCATTGATTCTTTTTATTTATTGTAAGTGAAATCATCTCCAAATAACTGACATTAAAAACAAACATATTAGCATGGAATATTATGCATTATAGGAAAATTGTATTCAATTGAAATTACTTAAATTCCATGAGACCCATGGTCATATATTACTATTTAGTAACAGTAAAAGGAAAATATTTTGATAGATGGGATTTACTCTATAACACCTAGAAAACTGTTGTCAAAATATAGTTGTTTTTCAAGTATTTTTTATCAGACTAGATGTGAATAAATTGTAGATAATAAAAACAGATTTAATGTTTGGCAAAGAACAAAATTGTACTCAATTTTCTTCCTACAAAGATAAAAATATCAAAGTCTTAGAATAGTCTACAAAATTGCATCCTTAAGGCATCCAGATTTTAGAAATGTTTACTTTTCTAACTACAGAAAGGAGCATCTCTTTTCTCATATATCTTTCTGGCAGAACAGTCCATCTGAAGTAAACCATGTTTTGGCTTCTAACTCTAGTGCTAGAATTTCAGAATATAAAATCCTGCTGTTTGACATCTGTTATTAGTTTCTATCTTTAGCCCAAGACAATCTTAAATACGTATTGCACGGTAGTATCTCCCATACATTTTATGGAGAATTTAGGGCAGTGTTTTCTTTGCCTCAGGAAAAAGGTGACAGTTAATTCAGTCAAAGAGAAATACTACTGTTGCTAGAACATTATGAAAAATAGTCCTAATTTTTAAATGATTCTGCTTCTCTCAGTAAAAATACATTTCCTGTACTCTGTTTTAATGGAAAGTCTGTAGTTAACTATTTTTAGCTAACTATAGTATGGCAAGATGTTTGGAAGATTCCAAAATTTTGAATCAGCCCCACCCACAGGTTGGGATAGACACTGAAAAGAGCCACCAGTGAACTACAGTGGATTATTTGGAAGTCCAGGCAGAGGATGATTTCATGGAGATGTGACACCAAAAGGTGGAAATTTAAGCAAGCTATTATTTTCAGGGTAGATAAAATAAAAGAAAACTCAGAGGAGTTTGTAGGTTATCAAAATGAGAAGTGTGAGTGCATCCATGGCAGTTAGGCCTGGTTTGAGTTTTAGGACTGTTTCTCCATGAGAAAAAATGACAAAAATGACTGAGACCCTTATCATTGAGGGATAGAATATGTTGTTGTATACCAAATCTGATTGTCGGCCACAAGAAAAAGGCAGATTCCTATTCTCAGAACTGGACTACAAGATAGTAACTCATTTTTAAGAATGCGGCTAGAACTTGAATCTGAGAACTGAGGTGCAGGCTAGCACTAAGCCTACCTTGATGCCTTGATTCTATCTCTAAAATTTAGGCAAGAATTGCTCAAATTTCTACTAAAGTTTAGAATTAGTCTCAACTATGAGGACAGGTTAGCCCTTGAAGTATGGATCAAAGTGTCCTAACTGTGAGGAAAAGAAGGGTGCATAGAGAGACTGGACTGTCACAGAATATGTCACATTCCAGCTTCTAACGTGATCGCTTTAGAAATGTTTCAAAATAACAATATTTCTTGATAATGTATATTTATTTGTAGAATGTAACATCTAGGCTTTTTTTTTTTGGTATTTCTAATCCTAGATAAGTTAGTATGATTTTGTTTTTCATTACTTAGTCTTGGAAAAAGATGTATTTCTGCTATTATGAGTAATGCTTATTTAGTGTAGATATTTTCTTTGATAAATTTTACTTAGGTCTATTTTAGATGGAATATGTTGTGTCTAAATCTTACCCTAGAAAGAACAAAATGTATTCTCCAGAACAATTTTGCATTGCTTTCATTTTTATTGTGTAGATGAAGTCATTTATGGTTATTTTGCTCCTCGTATTTTCATAATTAGTTTATATGCATTGTTTTTGTAATTTCTTTACAGAACTAGGAAAAGAGTTCTTTTACTAGACACTTTAAGCAAGATGTTTTCCACTGTTTAAGGATATTTAAATATATTACCAAATACAGTATCTATAAATGATCTAGAATATTAATACCACATACATTTAGGCATACTAAGTTCAATGTACTTTTTTCATCTTAGTATTTATAACTACCATATTTGATAACAGTACTATTGTTAGACCTAGGAAAGGGAGAAATTTGCTTTTGCCTCTATACCTTAGGGGGACCTGCAAATCATAAATATAATAAATATATTAACAAAAGAGTTTAATTTCCCAATCAGTCAATATCTAGCACTTAGCACTGGCATAGCATACTCTGTAATTTTAGACATGTTCTCTCGTTACTGTGAAGTAATTATCTATTACTATGTAACAAATTACTCTAAGTCAGTAGTTTATAACAACAATAAATGTATGTGAGGGGAGTTTAAAAATTTTGTGAAAAATGGAATTAAAGTCTAAGTGTATTTTAGTACAAAAAACCTGAAATCCATGCATAATTTTTTCATAATAAGTATTTCCCGAGAACTTTTGAATACTTCTCATATTATTTTTTTAATAGTTTCTGCAAGTCAGAAATTTGGTAGTGGTTTAGTTGGGTGGTTTATCCGTGAGGTTCCAGTCAAGATTTTTGCTAGAGTTGTCATCTGAAGGCTTGAGTGGGGTTGGAGGATCTGCTTTTAAGGTGCTTATTGGCTGGCTATGTTGATGCTAGTTGTTGTGGAGTCGTTGGTCCCCTTCCCATTGGGATGTCTCTATAGGGCTACTTCAGCATATTTAAAACATGGTTTGGCTCCACCAAGAATGGGTGGTCTGTTAGAGCAAAGTGGAAGCCGTTGTGTCTTTTATGACCTCGCCTCAGAAATTATGCACTGTCACTCCTATGTTCTGTGGGTAATATAGGCCAGCTACTATTCACAGTGGGAGAGAACTGCCCAAGTACATGAACAGTAGGAAACAGAGATTACTGGAGTTCATCATAGAGGCTGGCTACCACAGTTTAATATGTTTGAATGACATGAAGGTTCATAGGTTGAACCATTGCTAACATTGGAGACAGAAACTGTTTAATATTGTGGTGAGAGGTGGAACAGTCAGTAGAAGCACTTAGGTAAGATGAAAATCTGTTAATTATCTAATTTTCCAACCAGCATGAATGCAGTAGAATCTTGCACAATGAAGTATTTTTTCCAAGTATTTCAAAGCTTTTATTTCCTTGCTT